GCGGTGACATTGTTGCGTGGCGAAGCCGAAACGTGGTGGCGGCAACAAGAGGCGCGGGTGACGATTGACGAATGGCGTGAATTCAGAAAACGGCTGCTGGCGACTTTTAATCCACCTAACGCTCCTCAACTGGCTCGAGACCGATTGGCGGCGGTAGCACAAACAGGACAGTGGCACTTTATGTCTCGCAATTCCAAGCAGCATGGTCGTCAGTGCCATCCATGTCCGACGAAGAGGCACTTGACCGTTTCCAACGTGGTCTCCACCCAACTATCCGTATGCAGGTGTTGACGCGTTTTCCATCTTCGACTGATGAAGCCATGAAACTTGCGCTGGCTGTTGAAGGTGCACAGCAAACAAGCCAGGCGGTGCTGCAAGAAGCCCACGGATTTCCGGTAGCACAACCCCAAATGCGGCAACACCAATATGCTCAGCAACCCCAGCTTGTTCCTGAGTACCTCCGCTCCTCTGGTGTGGCACCCATGGATTTGGATGCTCTGCGCACAAGGTCCCCTGAGGCATGGCAAGGTCCCCGTAGTGGTGGTGGCAACTGGCGACAACCGGGATACCGCCGTAACAATGATACTGACAAGGACTGTTACAATTGTGGCGGCTGGGGTCATGTGTCTCGCAACTGCCCATCTCCTCGCCGCAATCGCCAACAGCAGGGTCGTTATCCAGGCCAGGGAAAAGGCCAAGCGCGTCGGGATTAAAGGGAGTCCCTACGCGCCCATTTCCATCCCTTAACGTTGTCCGAACGGAGCCCATGGATGTTCCTGAGGCCGACCTGATCGATCTTTCTGAGGACCGTGGTGCGGATGCACAGTTGCTCCAGCGCACACTGCAGGAAGATAGCCAATATTTCAATTCTTTGCTGTCAATAAAAGAAACTGATTTACCCCTGTACCCAATGGTGTGCAATGGTCGTGCTGTGGAAGTACTGATTGATTCTGGTGCTACTGGTTCGTACGTGGCGCCAAGAGTCGCTGCTGGTCTGCCCGCTCGTTTGGTGTCGGGTCGTGAGGTCGAAACTGCCGGTGGTCATGTGCTGTCAATATCAAGTCAAGCAACACTGTCGTTGAACGCCCAAGGTTACAAACATCAGACAGACGCTTATGTTCTCGACACCAAGTTTGATGTTATCCTAGGCCGGGATTGGCTCAAGACCGTTCAGCCAGTACCAGATTGGGACCAAGACACATGGAAAATAAGTAAAGGTGCTCACACTTATGTCCTCCGCCCTCGTCACACCCGTCAAGTCCCTGAGCTCTCGTACCTGATCTCCCACCGCCAAGTTCAACGTCTGGAACGTAGCAAGGAGATTGACGATGTCTTCGTTTGCTACGTCCGTACCGACCATGTTGAAGGCCAGCCGACAGCCAACGATCCGTTCAAGACGCTGCTGGTAGGCGAATTTGGCGACGTATTCCGTGAGCAACTGCCCGGGTTGCCTCCAGACCGCGGTGTACAGCACGTCATTGACACTGGTGACGCCGAACCTGTATCTCGACCACCATACAAAATGAGTCCGCTCGAGTTGGATGAATTGCGAAGGCAATTGAAGGAGCTGCTCGACTTGCGACTCATTCGGCCCAGCTCTTCACCCTGGGGCGCACCAGTCTTGTTTGTGCGCAAGAAGGATGGTTCCATGCGCATGTGCGTCGATTACCGTGCCGTCAACCGCCTGACTCGTCGTAACACACACCCGTTACCACGCATTGATGAGTGTCTCGAACGCTTAGCCAATGCTCGCCGTTTCACAAGTATCGATCTGAAAAGCGGCTACCACCAGGTGCGCATCCGCTCTGAGGATGAGGACAAGACAGCCTTCAACACCCGGTATGGCCAGTTCTGCTGGAAAGTTTTGCCGTTCGGCCTTCGCAACTCGCCACCGGTTTTTCAAGCCATGATGAATGAAGCGCTCGGCGATTGTCTCGATACGTGTTGTCTCGTGTACTTGGACGATCTCCTCATTTTCAGCAAGAGCGACGACGAGGAAGCACATCTACAGGACGTACGGCGTGTGCTTCACAAGTTGCGACAAGCGAAGTTGGTGGCCAACCTGAAAAAGTGCGAATTCAACAAGACCGAACTGGAATTCGTGGGTTATCAAGTGTCTGCTCAAGGAATACGTCCGTCAAAGAAAAAGGTGCACGCGATTCAAGACTGGCCGGTGCCAACCAATGTTCAAGAAGTTCGGCAGTTTGTCGGTTTGGCATCGCATTATCGTCGCTTCATTCGTGGGTTCAGCGCCATGGCAGCAGCGTTGACCGATTTAACAAAAGGAACAGGAGCAAAGAAAAGGGCGATTGCGTGGACTCCTGAGTGCCAGGAGGCTTTTGACCTCATCAAAGCCCGCATGTGTGACGCGCCCATCTTGATGCCTCCAAATCCGGACAAGCCGTATATCATCGAAACGGATGCCTCTGACTTTGGTGTTGGTGCCGTGTTGCTACAAGAAGGATCCGATGGTCTCCTCCATCCTCTGGCTTTTGAATCCAAGAAGCTTTCTTCGGCAGAGCGTTCGTATCCGGCCCAAGAACGTGAGATGCTGAGCATCCTCCATGCCTTGCGGACTTGGCGTTGTTTTATCGAGGGCCGTCGATACACTGTGTATTCCGATCATCATCCACTCAAGTACTTCCGGTCCAAGCTTAAACCCACGCCACGCCTGACTCGATGGATTGCCGAGATGGAACTATACGACCCGGATATCCAGTACAAGCCCGGCAAAGACAACCATGTTCCGGATCTGCTCTCCAGACGGGATGGCCCTGTGTGTGTCACCAAAGAACCAAGTTTGGAACCCGAGTTTCTCTATGCGGTCAAGGCGGTACAGGAATCTGACTGGCCAAAATTCTATGCTGTTTCCGAAGACAAGCGGCCACCTATGTACAAGGATCTACTGGATAAACATCAGGACAAGTTTGTAACACGGAACGGCCAGGTCTACCGCAAGGTCAAGGTCGGTGAATCTGTCCAAGAAGTGCGCTACGTACTTTTTGCTCGCCGTGCCGACTTGGTTGAACAGTTTCACAAATCGTTTGGGCATGCGGGGAAAACAACGGTGTACGACTTGATGCGGAAACGATGGTGGTGGCCGGATATGCGTGCCGATATTCAAGAATGGTTAGCTTCTTGTCAACAATGCCAACTTGCTGCTAATGCCGACCGAAATGTCCATCATGCACCCATGAAGCCACTGGAAGTCCCACCTGTTTTTTCCCGATGGCATTTGGATTTTGTGGGTGAGTTACCTACCACTGTCAATGGCAATCGCTGGCTGCTCGTTGCTGTTGACTATGCCACGAACTGGACCATCGCTCGCGCCGTACCTGATGCCACCGGTGAAGCCATTGCCAACTTCATCTATGAAGAAATCGTGCTGCCTTTCTCATGTCCAGTGGAAATCCTGACGGATCGCGGTGCCAACTTCATGTCCAAGGTGCTCAACCATTATTTGGGTCGTCTCAAGGTCAAGCACATCTTCACCTCAGCCTTCCATCCCCGAACAAATTCCAAGGCTGAACGAACAAATGGCATCCTTAAACAAATGCTACGCAAGTACACCCATGGTCAGATCCACCGCTGGGACCAGTTTGTCCAACCGGCCGTTTTTGCTTGCCGCATTCGCAAACATCGTACTTCGGGTTTCTCTCCCTACTTTCTGACGTATGGCGTTGAGCCACGACTGCCCGGTGACCACCTGCCTCCGTTTCTTCTGCTTCCCGAATCTGAACAAGAGGATTCACCTGTCGTTTGTGGTCGCGTTCCGGAGGTCCGTCGCTTACGAGAAGCGCGCTTGCTCGCTGAAAGCCGCCTCAAAGCCAATGCTGCCAAGGACAAGGCTCGTTGGGATTCCTTACTCATACCGCAAAAGTTTTCTGTTGGTGACCATGTCTTAATGCGACATGAAAACAAGCTCAGCCTCGAATTCAATTGGAAAGGTCCATATAAGGTCATTGCCATCAATCCTGATACCGATATCTACAAACTTGAAGATCTGCATGGCAATGTTTACTCGTCATGGGTCCACACCGATCGCCTCCGTCCTATCCATGTTTCGTCTCAAGTTTCGCAAGATCCATGGTACGACCCGACTGCTACTCGAGCTGCGGAACGTCGTAACCTCGATGCTGCTGGTCAGCTCGCTTTGTTGTTCGAGGACGACCAACACTTTGGAGAGGGGATATTGTCGTAGCAAGATTTGACGGTGACACACCGTTTCCTTTTTGGATTTTTCCCGCTCCCTTTTTGACGTATTTCATAGCCATTTCTTCTACCTGTTTCTGTTCCTTCATATTGTAACTCAATCATCCCTTCGCCGTTATTCTATAGCTACTTCTTCCTAATTCTTCCATTCACTCGCTAGAGCTCAATCCACTGTCCAACATTAGCTACAGCTATTCTTTCTATCTTCTTCTGTCGCGCAGCCGACCTTATATACATTATCCACTATATCTTGCATTCATCGTAGTATTCATCATTTTCGTATTACCTTGGACAAAACATATAAATACCCTTCCTCAGTATATACAATAAAGGATTATCTTTCAAGTCATCTCTTATTCTTCTTTATTCTTTTGTTATCTCTCTTCTATTGGCTACGGTATTGATCCGCCAAAAAGACTTCGACACTTGCTTAAAAAAAATAGCGGCTACAGGAATCGAACCTGCGCCTTCCAAAGCCTCAACCGGAATGGGGAGGCGCCTTAGTCCACTCGACCAAAGCAACATACTAATACATTTCAACCACTGCGTTGCTGCTATACCGCACAATTATAAGAAAGGGGTGGGACTGCCATACTTCTGGAGTGTATGTTTAGACTAAAAATAAACTCGCAGAAATAGTTTTCTATATAAGGCAGCTTCAGTGGCTATGTGACTGCTATTGCCGTTTTAGTATGCTGTTGCTATACATGGTAGGTACATGTACTGCAATTTATAGCGCTTTAGCTACAATATTGCACCTTCTAGAGGTCTTAATCCACCTTAAATAAAGCCACTTTCAGTGATTTTTATACATCCTCATATGTAATGTCTAAAATAAGCAATGTGACTGTCTTTTATAAAAGCATATTTAGATGTATATACATCATATATATATGCCTACAAAGTTTTATAGCAATAGCATAAATAATAGATGAGCTATGGTACATGAAAGGAGAGATACTTAAGGATGGATTAACTAAAAAACACCTATATACTTTCTCAGCTTCACTCGAGTTGTGCTTCACACACGGTTTTATGCTATGCTTGATTCCTTTCTTAGCTACTCTACTTGCACTTTCTCAGCTTTGCTCCAGTTTTGCTTCGCACACGGGTTTATGCTATGCTTGATTCCTTTCTTAGCTACTCTACTCATGCTTCTTCGCTTCGCTCGGGTTGTGCTTTATGCATGGGTTGACGCTATGCTTTATTTATATCCTAATAACCCTCCTCATGCTATCTCAGCTTCAGCTAGGCTGTGCTTCATGTATGGGTTTACACTACACTTTATTCATATATCTTAATGACTCTCCTCATGCTTTCTTCGCTTCGCTCGGGTTGCGCTTCGTGCATGGGTTGACGCTATGCTTTTTTCCTATCCTAATCACTCTCCTCATGCTTTCTTCACTTTGCTTGGGTTACGCTTCATGTATGGGTTTATGCTATGCTTAATTTATATCTTAATAACTCTCCTCATGCTTTCTTTGATTCACTCAGTTTGTGCTTCGTACATAGGTTGACACTATGATTATTCCCTGTCTTAATTACTCTACCAATGCTTTCTTTGCTTCACTTGGGATATGTTTTGCGTGGGTATATACTATAGGTATTAAACCATAATACCTACACATTGAAAAATCCATGATTTCCATTTCGATCCGAGAAAAGAATAATATCTAAAAAGTTTCAAGTTCAAGAAAATAAAGCCCTTTCGATCTGAAGATGACATAGTGTTTAATCTATATAACTTATTATCCATATGATAAGAACATGTTTGATCCATAACAATTTTTTTGAATCTATAGAAAATATTTTATTAGTGATTAATACATAAAATTACCTTATTATCATATTGAATGATTGTTTATTGGAAAATCCACTAAATCCACTATATTTCTTTGCTACAGTATAAATTATTCCCAGTGCAGGTGCAGGTGTTAGTATATGTGATAATGAAGACAATACTGGAACTTTTGCTTCATTTGCATGCTGAAGCTCTTATCGACACTACTGTTGATAGTAATAGTCATCATCATCATCATTATTATTATTTTGTAGTTCTTCTGCTAAAAATGTCAAAAGAATACTATTTAACATCATTGCCGTCGTTCTTCTTAGTAGATTACTGCCAAATCTGATGCATCATCATCATCGTCAATGTCTCTAGATGGCGCTCAAATAATTCATATTGGCTTTGTGGGGTTATATATGTGAAGATCGTGAGTGCATGATAGTAGTTGCTTATATTTTCTCTTTAAACACTGATCTAAAAAACATCAAAATGGGACCGTTTATTGTCATTGTCATTGTTTTCTTCAATAAAACGTTGCCAATATATAAGATCCAATATCAACATTGCCTTATGATACTGCCAGCTCATAGACATGTGTATTATTATTATTAGTACAGCATCATGCTAGATGCTAAAGTGATCCAGCATTCTACACAGCACAATTAGACCTTTTATTGTCATTGTTATTATGGTGCTGCTTAGAATGCTTTCAGCAACTATGATCTAATGCTATTATTAATTACTGTCTATACCTACGCTTGGTCCTATTTTTTTTTACAAGTTCTTGGTGAGAACATAGTCTCTTAGAGTCTAGTCTTGATATTTTTGGTCGCTGCTGAATACAAGTTTAAATGATACTCAATATAGCAAGTGCCGTCGTCCATTTGGGATATACGCTACTATGATAACAAATAATTAAAGACAGGCAACAAAAAAAGCATAAGGTCGTACTCAATACATAAGAGTTTGACCAGAAGACATACTTTCTAAATAGTTTCTATACACGGTCTGAACCATCTACATATGGGCATTAAACTGCCCTTCACCACAAATACCAGGTTCTTCCCTTAAAGTAAATTGCTCTTCTTCACAACTTCTCCACATATCTTTTTTGTTGTGTTCGAATTCACTATGACATCTATTCAGAAGAAACGACTATTGTTGTGTAAGATCATAAAAAACTCCTCATAAGAATGACTCTCTTTATTTTAATTGTTGTATATAAAATAAATATGAAAATGATATCCTTGCACTCCATATGGCCGATCCGGTCCCTAACCATTACAGAGACGCGCAACAACGACCGTCGTGTTCTACAGACGCTGCTCGTTCGATTAGTGGTCGTTGTGTGCCATTTGGATCAGTGGATCGTGAGATCTTCGTCGTTTTTAGTGGATGCTGCTATTAGTTTTGCCAGTGAAGTGTAACGCAATTGCTTATCCATCGACTGTTGTTGTTCGCATTCCTTCCCAACCATCACAGAGATCTCCAACAACGATCGTCGTGTTCTACAGACGCTGCTCGTTCGACCGGTGGTCGTTGTATGCTATTTGAATCAGTGGATCGTGAGACCGTGGTGCTTTTTGGTGGTTGCTCCTGTTATTTTTACAGTTGGAGTATAATACAATCGCATATCCATCCCCGTTCCTGTCCCTACTCCTTCTAAAATCATTGCTGGGACTTGCACCATGAATCGTCGTGTTCGGGAGAAGCTGCTCGTTCGACTGGTGCTTGTTGTGTGTGATTGAAATCAGTGGATCGCGAGAACGACGTCATTTTTGGTGGATGCTGCTATTATTTTTGTTATTGGTGTATAAGAACATAGCACTGCCGCGAATGTTGTTGTTCGTACTCCTTTAAAAGCCATCGCAGAGACACGCGACAACAACCGTCGTTTTCGGAAAAAGCTGCACGTTCGATTGGTGGTCGTTGTGTGCAATTCGAATCAGTGGATCATAAAACCGTCGTCGTCTTCGTGGTTGTCACTGCTATTTTTGCTGCTCATATATGTTGCTGTATATAAAATAGCACCGCCATTGTCCATCTTGGCTATACATTGTACAGGAAATTATTAAACAAGAGCAAAAAAACACACACAAGGACTGAGACCAAGAGATGAGTTTCATTCGAAATGCTTTATTGGTGTTGAAAGGAAAAAGTGCGAGATGTGTAAAATTCGAGTGTTGAGATTAGAGAAAGCGTACAAGACGAACGTTGCTTGAGTGAAGAAGATAGGACGAGTGTTGTTCGAATGGTGTTCAAAAGGAACGTCAGATGCGGCAAAGCTGGATTCCGATGGAGCGTGTGCAAGATGGCAATTCGAGTGTTGAATTGGCGGTGAGCAGTAATGAATAAAATAATACAAAGAAGTGAAAGAGCAGAAGCTACCTTTCGTGTAAAAATTTTTTCTTTATGGAGCGCTGCACCTTGAAAGGGCCTTTACCGAACACGGTGCTCATGATCATAGATGCTATCACCTTTTCGCCTTGCCTTGTCGTTTCCTCACGTTCCTTCTGCCTTTCCCATCCGTTTGTGCTTGTAATCAACACTTCTTTTACAAGATATTTTCGGTCACTGCCATTTTACTTTCATCTGCTAAAATATGTCCGATATAAGTTTATGATCTCTCTAATACAGGTACACATACATCAGCACTCAAGAAGTGTAAAACATCCAACAAATAAAACAATCCAAAATAAGAGGTGGTCGAGAAGAAGAAGAGAGTCCCATATACATCCAAGCTCATCAATTGGAAACTCTAAACCCGGAACCTTAGTAAACCCGGACCAGGACTTGCGCGTTCGACTAAACCTGCTCGCTCACTGGCGTTCGCTGCCAGGCCCCTAAACCCGTTGCGCTTACACGCCCTTCTTTTCAGCCTATTGAGTGTCTTAATGCCCCACGATGTCCTATGTTCATCAGTAACGTAGCTGCTTGAATTCATGACATTGCAGTAAGATCTGTTGGATCGCGTGAACATAAGCATTGCATTTGTGTCTGTATAAGCAAGAAGCCTGTATAACTGCGCAAATGCTGCTGTTTCCTTCTATTTTTACAAATATCCAACTCCACAACTACAAGCTCCAACGACGACGTATTGATGCTGATGCTCTCTTTTCAGTTTGCAGGTTTAATTCTCTGGGCAATCCAGTGTCTCTTACACAGAAAATCCACAGACCGGCCTTTTTATTCCAATGCGTTTCCTTCATCACTATAGCACTATAGCATCAGCAGAAAATGTAAAGATCATATACCGATTATTTTTGTCTAAGCTTAGATAGTTTGCCAAATCGAAGCCTGAATGTGGGCAAAGATGATATGAGTAAGATTGCCTGTTTTTTTGGTCGTGAGACATGATTCAAAAGTGATCGGTGCTGTTGCAGTTCGGTGTAATGGAATGATATATACATCTTTACTTGTATGTTGATACAAGTGCATCAACGTCATAATCAAAAAATTAGCGCTGGATAGCGTCTTTGTTTTAATGGTGCTGTGTGCCTCTCCTCTTCTTTACAATAAGAGAAAAAAAGTACTGGCTGGCATAGAATGTATTCAAACAAGTTCGCCTGTACGTGCAATGGCGTTGCTAATGTCAGAAAACGCATGTTTTGACCAGCAATTAGAATGACCACTGATGAATTGTGTAAAACGTGTGTTGTATATTTGTTCGTCAACTTTGTATATCTGTTCGAGTGCTGTGGGTACGAGTGCCGCCTTAGCCAGATCTGGGGTCATTCACGGTCATTTGGGTCATCGTTGCTAAATTGTCCGTACGTTACGGACTATTTGACCAATTAAATGTGGCGGATGGTCCGGGACCATTATTTATCCAGCCGCCATTAGCAGCAAAGCTGTATAGACGGCAGATATACCCCTCAGCAGCTTCCACTGATTGGATTTTCATATACGAACATGCACCAGAACCGCAGATGCCACATTTATTAATGTATTTTCAAGCTTAAAGTATATGGAGCTGTTTTTGTTCATCACACGACAACAGAATCTCATTCCATAAAATAGCAATTTATTACAGCATGCTAATATTATACACTCAAAAAATGCTATTGCTTCCTTACCTGCATATCGCCGCTGCTTTCCACAGAGCCCTCGAAGAATATAGCTTTAATGTCATTATATCCACGGTATGCTTCCAATCCTCACCTATAAACAATGAGATATTACCAATTCGGATCCTTGTAGTAATCCTCATTTGCTTCAGGCCGCTCTTGATCTATAATAATCCACACGCTCTTTTTACCGCAGTTGCTCGTCGATAAGACGTGGTAGAAACATTAGATCAGCATCGTCACGTCCGTCAGCTCGTCCTCATTCTACTGCACTAAACGGTTCGTTTTTTGGAGTACTGGATGGTGAGATATCGTCGTGCGCAAATCGCCCCTTTTTGGCTGACTTTGGTGTATATATATATGTTCCACAGTAAAATGCACGCGTACCGTTTCTGGCTGTTGCTCGTTGAAATGGTATGGTAGAGACACCAGACCACCAGCGTCACGTCCGTCTGCTCGTCCTTATTCTGGCAAACTAAGCGGCTCGTTATTTGGAGTACTGGATGGTGAGATATCGTCGTGCGCAAATCGCCCCTTTTTGGCTGACTTTGGTGTATATATATAGGATACACTATAAGTGTACGTGTAGCGTTTCTGGCTGTTGCTCGTCGACATGACATGGCAGAGACACCAGACCACCAGCGTCACGTCCGTCAGCTCGTCCTCATTCTACTGCACTAAACGGTTCGTTTTTTGGAGTACTGGATGGTGAGATATCGTCGTGCGCGAATCGCCCCTTTTTGGCTGACTTTGGTGTATATATATATGATCCACTATAAGTGCACGCGTACCGTTTCGGGCTGTTGCTTGTCGACATGGTATGGTAGAGACACCAAACCACCAGCGTCACGTTCGTCTGCTCGTCCTTATCCTGCTACTGTAAACAGAACGTTGTTTGGAGTACCGGATGGTGAGATACTGCACAGATGGGAATGGCTGCTTATTGCTTTTTTTCTTTGCCAGTTTGCCAGATAAAAAAGTAAACACCTACCGCCATGACTGTTGCTCCTTGTAGAAATACTTATGACATAGACTCGACGTTGCCATTGCGTTGTTTGCGTTCTCGCATAGCGTAAAGAAGAAAGCCGGCCGTTACTGTGCAGACTGCTGCAGGTTTTGCTATGCTTGTATTGCTGTCCTGCTGAGATGCTGACAAGTCATTCAACTGGCAAATGGCTTTTCCAAAAGCTTTAATGACGAAGATGTAGCGTCCGTTTGTTGTAATGCTTGTTGCTGTAGTGCAACTGTTACTGAAAGCGAAATGCGTAGTATGAGTGTTGAGAAGAAAGCGTGCAAGATGAGGGTGTTGTTCGAGTGATGAAGTTGAAAAAATAATATAGGGCGAGTGTTGTTCGAATGGTGATTAAAAGGAACGTGACAAGCGGCAAAGCTGAATTCAATGGAGTGTGTGCGAGTTTGCAATTGAGCAAGTCGAGTGTTGGAATGGCGGCGAGCAGTAAGTAAAAAAAAAAAAGTGAAGGAGTGAAAGAGATGTAGAAGCTTCCTTTCGTAAAAAATTTTCTTTGGGGAGCGCTGTACCTTCGGCTTTCCCAAACGCGGCACTTATCATAGATGCTATCACCTTTTCGTTTCTTCACGTTCCTTCTGCCTTTCCCATCCGTTTGTGCTTGTCATCAACACTTCTTTTACAACAAAATCTTGGTCACCGTCATTTCACTTTCCTCTGCTAAATCGTGTCCGATATACGTTAATTATCTCTCAAATACACGTACAAATACATACAGCATCCAAGAAGTATATAAAATAGCCAACAAATAAAACAATCCAAAATAAGCGGTGGTGGAGAAGAAGAAGAGAGTCCCATATACATCCAAGCTCATCAATTGGAAACTCTAAACCCGAAACCTTAGTAAACCCGGACCAGGACTTGCGCGTTCGACTAAACCTGCTCGCTCACTGGCGTTCGCTGCCAGGCCCCTAAACCCGTTGCGCTTACACGCCCTTCTTTTCAGCCTACTGAGTGTCTTAATGCCCACGATGTCCTATGTTCATGGTAGCATAGGGGGCAAAATATTTACAAAGCACAAGAAAGGAACAAGATACATGACGCACGTAATAAAAAAAACTCTTCTAGCATTTGTTTGTTCAACCATCCAAAACCATGTCCTCGGCCACCGAGCTGCTTTCCTGAATGCTCTCTCTATTGGTTTCTATTTGCACTTGCTGACGCCGGGCATTACCCTCGAACACATGTTGATCATTGTTCGCCATTTGCACAATCTTATTTATCACAGTCGGCACAGGTCGGTCAAGAGTTCGGTATCGCACCACTTTTTCTTCACATCCTCAACATCAACAGAGTCCAACGCCCGCATAAATGAGTCTTCGCTCATCTACAAAATTGTAGCGTGTCAGTATCTTGAGCACAAAGATACACATATATACATGACCACACACACACACACACACAAAAAACATACTTGCTCTAGGTTCCATGGGTTGAACGTCAAAGGCAACAAAACAATATCAGCACCAAATATACGAATCAAATGCATATAGCGACGTGCTCCTTGTTTCAACTGTGACATTAACTTTCGTGCTACTTTTTCTTCTTTGAACTGGAATACGCCTTGATCAAAAACTCGCTTTTTCCCTTTTTTGATAGTGTGATAGATGTGACGGCAATAAACAATATTGATGCTCTGGACAACCCGCATCATGGCAATGGCAATACTGGCTTCGTTCAAATCATCCAAATTGCCTTTGCTCGTTTTCGCTATGTTGAGAATGTCGCTGTGTTGTTTTTGTTGCAAGTGCTGTGCATTGATAAGTGTACTGTTGCCGCCATATTCAAGTAGTGATTGATTGTTGGCTTCCAAAAACACCAAGCAGCACTGAACATTGTTTAACAACTTTAGCCTATCCTCCGGCTCGCGAGAGCAAACCAAACCGAGTTCTATCAAGAAGAACAATTCAAACATGTCAGTGTTTTGCAAGTATCAATAATACTTTCCGTCTTGTTCGTCCTTTTTACCCACCACTGATAAGTTTTCCGCCGTGTTTCCAAGTATTCCTCAAAGAACCGCCACTACACAAAGCAACTTGGCTACTGACTTCTTCTTGCGTATATTGCGTGTTTATATCTTCATACTCGGGTAGTTGTAGTAGTCGTTGTTCTTGTCCAGCACGTCGGCGCCTCTTTGACCGCGAACGGTGCGAAATTATATCTGTGTTGCTGTTGTTACGCGATGATGATGATGATGGTACAGTGGTAGTCAATGTGGTGTCGGTGAGTCTTGAAAATATCCCAAGTCCACATCAACATCGTTCAAGTCAAGGATAATACGTGCAGCATCTTTGAAGGAAATGAGACCGACCGATCTTTATTAGCTTGATCCACGTGTCATAGTGCTGTAAGTCAGCAAATCAAACACCATACCTTCCAGTTCTTGCGCGCTCACACTTGTGTTACTATTACTATTGTTGTTATCATTGCTGCTGCTGCTACTGCCCGCCGCCCTCGCAAGCGTGCTGTTGCTGCTGTTGTTGTTGCTTTTTGTTGTTGTTCTTGATGATGATGTTGTTGCTGCTGCCGTTTGGCGTAGTGACAATGGGGGCTAAACCAACTGTATCAGCATTGGCCCTTTTCCTTTTCCCTTCCATTCTCTCCTTTTTTTTACCCTCATTATTTGCTGTTGCTCATCCGTCGTCGTCATGGTTGTCCTTGTGCTGTTAGTAGTAGTAGTAGTAGTAGTAGTAGCATCACTACCGGAAGTCATGCCCACAGCCTTTGAATCAAATCGTGTACGTTGAATCTGCCATTTGCTTTTTTTTTTCACTCCTCCCCTTCATTTCCACCTTTCTGCCTTACATCTTCAACGCCTTTGCTCGTAATTTCGACAGTGAAACCGTGCTTTTCAAACACATCCTTCACTTCCTTTAATACCGCATCTTTGTCTAATTGAACAGACCTTCAATTAGCTTTTGCAATGCACATCCGTTCTTTTCCTCAATGTTCACCCAATCTTGCTTTTTTTTCTGTTCCTTTTACTTACCACGGCTTTTCAATGCTAAATCTAAAACAGCTGCTACTGAGTTATCCATCATAAACAAGTACAAGATACGTCGGTTCTCCAACTGCCGTGTGCCAGGCACCTTAAAATGAAGCTGCCCACTATGAGCCGTTATTTCCCATACTGTCGCTTACACGAAACAAAAAAGAAGCAATTTTTTTTCATACACCTAATATTTTTATTTAATAAATCCGACTTTTAAATACTGCTGCTGTTACTAGTGCTCTTGTGTTGACAAGACGTCAACTAAAAATCGTACAATAAGCATATGAGCATGTTTCCTTTTTCTCTCCTTTGCGTTTGTAATGACACGTACCGTTCTCTGCAAGAAGGATTTTAACCAACCCTGTCAAGCGCACAAAATATTGCAGCTTGGCAATATTTGATGTTGTTTTCGTCAGGTCGCGCCAAGATCCTGCGGCTGTGATATTAGAGACGACCATGAAAACACGTGCGGGCCATATTCCCAGTTTGCCACACTCGTTGGACATAAGTACGGATTCATTAACCTGCTGGAGGAGGTGCAGGGCATCGTTGGGTATGAGTTCAGCTTGAGAAGGGAAACCAACACCGTCTAAACAGTCAACAAGGGCACATACGCACTGGAACTGGTTACGACTCATGATACCAGCCGCACGACCAGAAAACGGATCATCTTGGCCACAGCGACACGACCGCACTAGCATCATTATGAACGACGCATAGTGGCGCTCATAATCGAGCTGTGTTGCCGGCATCAGCTCAGTGATACCACGAGTGGGCACATCATCGACACTAGTATCAAGGAATATGTTAGTATGCCAAGTTATAGAATTTTGAAAGAATATTCTGGCTCCTTGACAAAGTACATACCTCAAGCCCATCACCATGCGCCGTTCAAGATAATAGGACGAGCCTTTAGTAGCCTTGTTAATGACATACATATACCTCGTCACTGTGGCATGGATTGAGCGGCCCACCTCATCATCCATATCAGCAGCAGAAGCCCAGTTGGCAAGTTGGGCACGCGTTGCAGTAGTGTCTTCTGTGTTCAGAAGTTGCCGCACCGTCATCTCCCATCGCATTACCTCGTGGAAGCGGCCAACTGCACGGCGCTCAGCCATGTTGGGCTCGCGATCAAGCCGCTGTGGGCTGTAGTGGCTCAGGATATCCTTGTTTTGTTCGGCACAACGCTGCAATGCGGCACGAAGAGCATCTGGGGCACTTGCAAGCTGGCGGCTGCTGCTTTCAGTGTTGATATCGTCAGAAGTGACACCAAAGTAGGGCATTTCTTGAAGCTGGCCCAGTCGCTGTACCATGCACACCCTGAAGCGTTCATCATAGGCCGCGGTGGTTGGTTGGATACAATTGTGGCTTCGACGTGTTGCTCTGGACCTGCAGTAATACCCACAGTTCCTGCATCCATACCCGCGATCAGGATCACCGAGCACGTTAACGCGTGGAAGCAGATCGGTCGTAATGTGCGGCGCATAGCGATACTTGTTTTCGATTTGAGCTCCTTTAGCACCAGCGGCATGCACAATGCTGATGAATTGTTCTTCCGAAAAACCTTGCAGGTGTGGTCTTAGGAGATGGTGAGACGAATCGATGTGACTATACGCGCTGGCAGCATGGATAAAGGTATATCGGTTGTTGTGGCTTTGGTTGGTGCAGAAAAGTAAGCCGCTATTGGCATCGATAACCAAACCCAACCTGCCAAGCAAGGTGCTATGCTCTATGCGAATCATAGTATATACAAGTACACATTAGCAACATATATTCTGTGTGTACATGCGCATAACAATAACAGTATCAAATCATCTTACCATGTACAGGCTCCTGTTCTTGTTCTGGCCCATCGATGTCCATTAGATCCGTTTGCTGGTGCTGCTGAATCGATGCTACTTGCATGGGTGATGGTGATAGTGACGGTTGGGAAGGTGGTGTCCGCTCACGCTGATGGATGGGACGTGGTTGGCGCGCAACCGATCTAGGAGAGATGGACCGGCTGCCTTGTAGCTGCTGTCTACTTTGAGGAGGCGTGTAACCGCGTAGATGGCTAACTGATTCAGGATCTAAATGTGGTCGGCAGGTGTTGAAATGACGTTTCCAGTTGGCCATCCCTACATTGCGCTTGCATTGTGGACACTCCACTTGACCTGGCTCGCCATCACGGGTTCTGCTCACTGTAATACAAAGCTTTGCTGCATAGCCACATATCAGTATCCCTCTTTATCTCTGCATTTTACTCTGCATTTCCCTAATATGTGCGATGATATACCATTATTTCTCAAGGACAAAGTAATATTCTTTTGATGAAAGACTTTTCGATGTTGGTCGCTATTCCCCTGCACGGTACATCGGCATATCGAGCAATAATTGGTGCGGTTGTTGTTGTCATATGTTGATTGTTGAGAAGAGCTCATGGCGAAAAAGACTGGCAGAGGGATAGTTAGTTGGTTGATGTTGAATCAAATACAGCATTACACTTGGTCTTTATACAAACGAGTTCATCACCTCACTCACACTTTGCTCTTTAATTTTATCTGACACATCGTGGCTGATTCTTAATTACGCACGGCCATTTTTTTTCCCCCTTTCATCTAACACCCTACACCCGCCTCGCTATTTTTATCTTCATCTGACACATCGTGGCTGATTCTTAATTACGAGGAGCTTTTTTTTTCCTTTTTCATCTGACACCCGCCTCGCTATTTTTATTTTTATCTGACACATCGTGGCTGATTCTTAATTACGCACGGCCATTTTCTTTCCCCTTTCATCTAACACCCTACACCCGCCTCGCTATTTTTATCTTCATCTGACACATCGTGGCTGATTCTTAATTACGAGGAGCTTTTTTTTTCCTTTTTCATCTGACACCCGCCTCGCTATTTTTATTTTTATCTGACACATCGTGGCTGATTCTTAATTACGCACGGCCATTTTTTTTCCCCTTTCATCTAACACCCTATACCCGCCTCGCTATTTTTATCTTCATCTGACACATCGTGGCTGATTCTTAATTACGAGGAGCTTTTTTTTTCCTTTTTCATCTGACACCCGCCTCGCTATTTTTATTTTTATCTGACACATCGTGGCTGATTCTTAATTACGCACGGCCAATTTTTTCCCCTTTCATCTAACACCTTACACCCGCCACGGTATTTTTTATTTCTATCTGACACATCGTGGCTGACTTCTTAACTACCCGAGCATTTTTTTTTCATCTAACATCCGTCTACAGTATATCTATTTTTATCTGCCACATCGTGGCTGATTCTCAGCTACGAACTACGAGGAGGGCCTTTTTTTTCCTTTTCATCTAATATCCGCCACAGTACTAGCTGATCCACACTTCGAGTACTTGTAACTAATTTGCCGCGGCATTCACAAAGGGAAAAAAAATCATATATATAGCCTCTCCGTTTACCAGCAGAAAAAAATATACACATACTCATTACTCGAATCCCATTAACAGCTCGCACACACTCTCACCTTCTTTTACTTCTTATTCAAATCTTTTTCAATATGAACAACTACACTGGCTATACTACCACCAATTTTGATTATGCCATGGAATCCGGTATTCATGCAGACAACGAACGATTGACAGATCCAGCATTCCACGACGCCCAGCGTACGATTGACCGGTAATTATCATGACACTTATTCTTTATTGTCTTTTTTTTCATGCCAACTCTACTTTTATTGAAATACTTACCCTTCTTCTTTCTTATTAGTGAGCAAGCACGGGATATCATGTTCTGGCTTCGTGATGGTGTTCCCACTGCCATGAATATGTTTCAGGAAACTATGAGAACCGCAACACTGGCAACAGGCGACCATCCACCCGAGCCCACCATCTTCATTGAAGATGACAACTACTTGTCCGTGCAGTATCGTCCAACACGAGCTATTGTCAGTCTGTCCAGCCTCCAGATTGCTGCCCAGGATCTCCTCGTTAAATGTCGTGTGCAATTGGAGGAGCACGTGTTGCGAGGATATCGTTTGCCTGTCCCTTTTACCTCCACCAGTTGCAACATCGTCGACCAACAAGCTAGTGAAGATCCATCTGTTGATTTTTTCACTGCCTCGGGTAACCCTACTGCTGATCCTGCCTACCTCACTGCTTTAATGTTCCACTTGGCTACCCAGTATTCGGACGAGTTCATCTCCCATGTCGCACCCAACAGTACTCTAGTTTGGAAGCTCGACAGCCTCTATCGGTGGCTAAACCAAGCGCGAAAATTAATCATGATGATTATGGTCCTTGTCCATATTACCAGTGGCCAGCCAGCACGCGGTGAGGAACTCGCAGCCACCACCATCCGATGTACTGCCCTTGGAGCCAAGCGTGGCATGTACTGGTACCGCGGCAAGATCATGCTTGTCCAATACTACTACAAGCGCCGTTCTCGAGGAACTGCCGACCGATACATTGCTCGTTTTCTTACAAGAGAATTGAGTGATATTTTGCTGCACTATCTTGTCTTGGTTCGCCCATTTGAACGGTATGCATTACTTTGATAACTTTTGGCTATTGCTGGTCGATGATTTGCTGAACTGTTGTTTCGAATTATTTCTAGGGTAGCGTTTTCGGAAACGCACAGTGGTGACAGTGCTGATGCCGGCGTCGCAAACTACCAGAACTTTCTCTTCGTCGCCAACGGCAACGTTGTCACGAGCAGAGATTTGAGCCGATCACTGTATGAGTATGTATCATCTCAACTTGTTTATATGTTACCAAGAAAAATAAAAAAGTAAAACCCAACATCTACAAGAAATACTTACTTGTTTTCTTCTATTAGGCACCTGCGAACGTATGCCGGTGTTGGCCTTGGCCTCCAAGCGTACCGCCAAGTTGCCACGTTCTTCATGCGCCACCACCTCCAACGTGGCCGTGCTTTCTTACAAAGCACAGAGGAAGTCGACAATGAACCCGACACTGGCGACAATGACGGCGTTGACGATCAACAACAGGACCAAGCGCGATCTGTCACTCGTGGCATTCGCCATGTCAATCCCGAATTTTATGACTTGCAGGCAGCACACAGCAGTTCGGTTGCTGGCATGTTTTATGCTCGCACCACAAATGATTTTCGGTATTTGTCGTCGGAATCCATACATGAGTTTGACCTCTGTTCTCGTGAGTGGCAGGCCTTGTTGGGTATGTATCAACGTCGCTGTTCACATAAAGAAATAATAGATTACGTGATTAATTATGCAAATGACAAATATATAGGCATTGATGACCATATTGCCGCACCCATACCCTCTCATCCTCAACAACAACCATCGCACCAACCGCATCAACAACCACCTCAACAACAGCAACAATCTCTTGCCCTTGCTCCTCCTCTCTCACAGTTGCCTGGAATGGTGAACAGCTTGCTTGCCCAAGCAGCTGAACGATTTGTCGTGGCCATACACGAAAAAACAACCAAGAACATATCGCCGGTCATTGAATACAAGCGTACGTTTTCTTCTTATCCTCCTATGCCCTTTTCTCTGCTTTTTACTTATCTTCTCTCATCTTTATAGCCGTCCTTCCTGAGCATGTCAGTGGCTTGCGTCGGTTCCTCGGCAATGACTCTGCCTACTTCCGTTCCCTTGAACAGGGCCTTGCTCTACCTTTGATTGTAGAGCGAAAATTGGACCTGCTAGTTGTCATGCCAACCGGCATGGGCAAAAGCGTGCTTTTCTCGGTTCCCCCTTTCCTGGAAAACGGCAAGCTTTCGGTCGTCATCGTCCCCTTGGTAGCACTGGTCAAGGACCACGAGCGTCGCTTGGTGCGAGCAGGTTTACGGACCGCATTGTGGCAATGTAAGTGTTTTTCTTTATGGAAAAAAAAAGAGTATTGCTTTGTATTAGTATGCCATTTATCAGTTTAAACTCATTATCTATACATTAATTAATATAGCCGGCGCCCCTACCATGCCCAACGCACAGGTGCTGCTGGCACCAGTTGAAGCTGTTGCCTCTGCCCCCTTTGTCCAGTTCTGCTTGGAGCATGAAAGCCGAATCTCCCGTTTTGTCGTCGATGAGTGCCACCTGGGCATGACATGGCTATCCTTCCGCTTCGCCATGGCCAAGCTCACTGTTCTACGCGCCATCCCTGTCCCTCTTCTCCTTCTCACAGCCACCATGCCGCCGTCCATGGAAGATCGAGCCCGTATCTTTTACGGCTGTAACTTTGCAACAATTCGCGCACAGTCCACATCGCGGGTAAACCTGTCGTACCAAATCCATCCCTTGCCCAGCAACATCACCAACAATATCGCATTCAACACATTGGCAGAATCTTTGCGTGTTGTCTTTCCCAACGAACGCGGTATTGTTTTCTGCAAGACAGTACAGGATGCCGAAACGCTCTTTGATGTTTTGAATGGTGGATATCAAGACTTGGCTCCACGACTTTACCATGGCCAGCTCCCAGAGACAGCCAAAGACGAGGCTCAAGAGGGCTGGATGTCCGACGGCGGCATCATGGTCGCGACCTCGGCGTTCGGTATTGGCATTGACGCTCCTGATGTGCGGAAGGTGTTCCACTGGAGGTTGCCTTACAGTTTGTTGGATTACGCTCAACAAACGGGTCGCGCAGGTCGTGACGGGCAAACTTCAGTGTGTCGGGTGTATTATGTCGAAGACAGAGAACAGAGCACCATTGACAGAAACAAACAAAACCAGGAAGTCGAATCCAGCATCAGCGACGCAGAAGAGATGCTTGCGTTTGCAAAGGTAAAACCTAAAATTTAAAGAAGGAGATACAGTTGGGAGGTTAATCTATTTGCGTTTGCTAATATACAATCTGTTATAGTCCAAGACATGCATTCGTTTCAAGTTACAGCAATATCTCGACGGTCGCCCATCCTTGAACTGTCTTGCCGACAGTGAAGCTGTGGAGTGTGGCATCTGTCACGACTTATCACAACAATCACACCATGAATCTTCCTTGTCGTTGTCTGTTCGGTCAGCCAATGCCCTGCAAACACAGACGCGGCAGGAAGTTCCATTTGATCTGCCGGCCCCTTCACATGTAAGTCAAGTATATGTTTTTGTAGCTTTATTGTTTAGAGGTTCAATTTTTACTCATCGTGTATATATTTTACTTGTCACACTTACCAGCCTTCAATGCAACGACGACGACAGCAATCACCACCTGCCCTCCACCCTGTTGCTGCCTTTGTACAGGCGCAAGAAGAGCACGACCGTATCCAACAGGAGAAGGAGCGTTTCCTTGATCAATGTGAAGCGCTCAAGTCAACTTGTGTCGTCTGTTTGCTTCACCGTCTCCCGCAATGCAATGTTACACCTTACGACGATCATTCGCAGCACGACTACTGCAAAAGGTGCTTCCACAAGCATGGTTTATATGGCATGTGCCTCACCTATAAGTATGTAGCCTTAATACCAAGTTCTCGTATTTTCTTTTTTTTTCCTTTACTAACCTGTGCTCGATTATTCTCTACTTTGCTTCACAGGCGGTTAATGTGTTTCAAATGCGGCCTACCATTCAACCATCCCCTCTATCACGGCAACGGTGAGGAGTGCAATGCGGTGATCAAGAACGCTGTGTTGCCAGCCTGTTGGGCTATTTTTCAGAGTGAGGACACCGAGGATCAAGAGTGGTTAGTCGTTGCATACAACGCTATCCATCGCTCCAACCAGCACCAAAGGACAGATCCATTCCCGGCAACCAAGACAGCATTCGCTCGGTGGTTATCAGACAAGGATGACGGCAGCCATGTCAACAATGCGATGAAGCTATTTGATAAGATAGTTTCTGAGCTTATCGATTGTTAGCCAAGGTTTCTATAACCTCTCTTTTCTCTCTCTTGCTCTCTACCACCTTCTCTCTGTCTTGCTCTCTCTCTCTTGCTCTCCTTTCCTCTTCTCTCTTCTCTCTCTCTCTCTCTCTCTCTCTCTCTCTCTCTCTCTCTCTCTCTCTCTCTCTCTCTTCTCTCTTTCTCTCTCTCTCTCTCTCTCTCTTTCTCTCTTTCTCTTCTCTTTGTCTTTCTCTCTTTGTTTTTTTGTCATATTTGACCTTTTTACAATAATAAATATATATACTACCACACTTCTTCGTTACTGTGCCCATCCTTGAGTACATTGCTAGTTCCATCGGAACAGCTTTCTCATTTGGACGTGTCCTGAGCTTATTATTTAAGAGCGTCGTAATCTGTATCTATGGTGACTTGAGAAACTACAGACATTGATTGTTGCAACTCTGGCAATGGCTGCAGTGAAGCAGTGTAGATACCATCTAGTGTAGATACACGTCATACGCCAACCATTGTATCCTCACAACGGTATATGTAACGAGCAGCTCCAAACTGACATCGTCGTCGTTGATCATCATCGTTGTCGCCTTGCCGTTGAATAGGAACTATTACAGTGATGTCAAACGGTGTTGCTCCTTCCAACATTCAAAAGTTGCTTGACTTCGGCTGTTACCTTTTGCCTTTTTTTCACAGATACCAGTTTCCAGTCATTTCATATCATGTTGGTAAAGAATTATTTTTGTTGGAAGTTGCCGACTTTACTACTACAAAAAAGTACTTTTACAATTGACAGTGGAAAGAAGGTGAATGCGATACGTTTTGTAGTGGGAAAGTATATAAAACAGAACCCACAGCACACCACCATCGCCGTAGCTTTTTTCTGCTAAAACAAATGCGGCAAGTGCCATTCACGTTATCTGCTAAATCGTGTCCGACATAAGCTTATCATCTCTCAATACACGTACAAATACATACAGCATTCAAGAAGTATAAAAAATAGCCAACGAATAAAACAATCCAAAATAAGCGGTGGTGGAGAAGAAGAAGAGAGTCCCATATACATCCAAGCTCATCAATTGGAAACTCTAAACCCGAAACCTTAGTAAACCCGCACCAGGACTTGCGCGTTCGACTAAACCTGCTCGCTCACTGGCGTTCGCTGCCAGGCCCCTAAACCCGTTGCGCTTACACGCCCTTCTTTTCAGCCTATCGAGTGCCTTAATGCCCCACGATGTCCTATGTTCATGGGTAACATAGCTGCTGGACATCTGGCCAATGCAGTAAGATTAGTCGGATCGCGTTAACAAAGCGGTTGTATCTGTGTCTTTATAAGCATGAAGCCTGCATATAAGCGGAAATGCTTCTGTTCCTTATTTTCACAAAATCCAGCTCCACAACAACAAGCTTCAACGACGACGTATTGATGTTTATGTTCTCTTTTTAGGTTACAGGTTTTATTTTTAATAAGCAATCCAGTGTCTCTTTCACAGGAAAAGCCACAGACCGGCCTTTTTATTCCCATTGCAATCAAATAGCGTTTCCTTCATCACTATAGCATCAGCAGAAATAGCCAAGATCACATACCAATTATCTTTGTCTAAGATTAGATAGTTTGCTGGATCGAAGCCTATATGTGTGCAAAGATGATGTGAGTAAGACTGCCTGTTCTTTTTTTGTCGTAAGAAATAGATTCGAAAATGATCGGTGCTGTTGCTGTTCGGTGTAATGGGATGATATATACATCTTTGCTTGTATGTTTCCAAAGAGCCACCATCGTCATAATTAAAAATTAGTGCTAGATACCGTCTTTCTTTTAATGGTGCTGTGTATTAAAAAAAGTATCGGCTGGCATAGAGCATATTCAAACAAGTTCGCCTGTACGTGCAATGGCGTTTGCTAATGTCAGAATACAACGGCTTTGACAGCAATTGAAATGACCATTGATGAACTGTGTAAAAGTTGTGTTGTGTATTCGTTCGTCAAAGTTTTTTAAACATGTTTGAGTGCTGTGGATACGATTGCCGCCTAGCCAGAATCCAGGGTCATCAGTCGTCATTTGAAATTAATTTGGGTTCGTTTGGGTCATCGCTGCTAAATTGTCCGTTCGTTACGGACTATTCGACCAATTAAATGTAGCAGATGGTATGGGAGCACTATTTATCCAGCCGCCAATCATTGCAGTTGCTCATTGGTCAGATTCCGGGGTCAATCCGGGGTCATTCATCGCCACTTGAATACAAACTTAGGGGTCATCGTTATTATAACGTCTTTAAAGTCAAATTACAGCAGCAAAGCTTATAGAACGTAGTATACTACTAGCAACTTCCATTAACCAGATTTTCACATACGAACATGCATCGGAACCGCAGACGGCACATTTACCAACAAGTTTCAAGTTTAAAACATCTCGAGCTGTTTTTGTATTTCACACGGCAACAGAATCTCATTCCACAAAATACCAATTTATTACAGCATGCTAATATTATACACTCAAAAAATGTTATTGCTTCCTTACCTGCGTATCGCCGTTGCTTTCCACAGAGCCCTCGAAAATATAGCTTTACTGTCATTATATCCATGGTATCCTTCTCATCCTTACCTATGTGATAATGGGATATCGCCAGGCCTGGATCCTTGTAGTAATCCTCATTTGCTTCAGGCCGCTCTTGATCTATAATAATCCACACGCTCTTTTCACCGCAGTTGCTCGTCGATAAGACGTGGTAGAAACACCAGATCAGCATCGTCACGTCCGTCAGCGCGTCCTTATTGTACTATGCTAAACGGTTCGTTATTTGGAGTACTGGATGGTGAGATATGGCCGTGCGGGAATCGCTCCTTTTTGGCTGACTTTGCTGTATATGTATATGATCCGCAATAAAAGTGCACGCGTAGCGTTCCTGGCTGTTGCTCGTCGACATGGTATGGTAGAGACACCAGACCACCGCGGCACGTTCGTCTGCTCGTCCTGATTCTGGCACACTAAGCGGTTCGTTATTTGGAGTACTTGATGGTGAGATATGTCGTGCGTGAATCGCTCTTTTTTTGCTGACTTTGTGTATATATATGATCACTATAATGACGTGTAGCGTTCTGGCTGTTGCTCGTCGACATGGTATGGTAGCGACACCAGACCACCAGCGTCACGTTCGTCTGCTCGTCCTTATTCTGCACTAAGCGTTCGTTATTGGATACTGGATGCGAGATATCGTCGTGCGGGATCGCTCCTTTTTTAGCTGACTTTGGTGTATATATATGATACACTATAAGTGTACGTGTACGTTTCTGGCTGTTGCTCGTCGACATGAATGGTAGAGACACCAGACCACCAGCGTCACGTTCGTCGTCGTCCTTATTTGCCATCTAAGCGTTCGTTATTTGGAGTACTGGATGGTGAGATATCGTCGTGCGGAATCGCTCTTTTTTTTGCTGACTTTGGTGTATATGTATATGATCCACTATAAATGCACGTGTAGCGTTCCTGGCTGTTGCTCGTCGACATGGTATGGTAGAGACACCAGACCACCAGCGTCACGTTCGTCTGCTCGTCCTTATTCTGGCACACTAACGGTTCGTTATTTGGAGTACTGGATGGTGAGATACAGCCGTGCGGGAATAGCTGGTGCTTTTGTCTGCCAATTTGCCTGATTAAAAAAAAAAGAAATAAACACGCACCGCCGTGGCTGATGTTACTTGAACAAAAGCTAATGCAACATAATCGACGTTGTCATTTCGTTACTCGCGTCCTCGTTTAACGTAAGAAAAAAAGTGATCTGTGCTGTAAAGACTTGTGCAAGTTTTACTACCTTGATGTTGTAGTCATGCTGTGATGCAGGCAAGTCAACGCCATTGTAATTAAGTTTGACCGTTATAATTATCGGGTGCCGTAGCTTCCGTTGGTTGTAAGGCTTGTTGCTGTGGTGCTGCTGTTGCTGCTGGAGTAGGTTGCCGCCCTCGTCAAATGGCTATAGTTTCACAATTACTAGTAGTAAAAGAGATTAGATCATTCGCCATCACAATGCCACTTTTCTTTTAACAACTTGACATCTCAGAACTAAATACCTTGTTTTTGCAAGCGCACTTGCTTCAATATGTTTTGAATAAAGACGGCAGTAAACGAGTGTGTTATGGAGCAAAAATAAAATAAAGTGGAGCTGGCTCTTCTGCTATTTTGCTGTCTTGCTCATCATGTTCTGGTAATTTGATTGGCCAAAACCCGGGGTCAGGCCGGGGTCGTCCGTCGCCACATGAACTGAAATCTCGGGGTCATCGGGGTCACTCGTTATTATTGAGCTTCAAAGGCAATTTACAGCAGCAACGCTGTATATACCGGGGGTATGCTCCAGGAACTTCACAGATTGGAATATAATATACAAACATGCATCATAACCGCAGATGCCACATCCATTAATGAATTTTTCAGCTTAAAGAGTATAGAGCACCTTTTGCACAATGCACGACAACAGAATCTCATTTCATAAAATACCAATTTATTAAAGCATGCTAATACTATGCACTCTCTATTACTTCCTTACCTGCACATAAGCGTCACCACCACAGAGCTATCAGAAAAAACCAGCTTTGCTACGATTATCTCCATTATATGCTTCCCATCCGCATCTATAAAACAACGGGATATTGCTATGTCTGGATCCTTGTCGTACTAATGACTTGCTTGAAGCACCTTTTACATATAATCCGCACGTTCTTTTCACCGCTGTTGCTCGTCGTAAAGACATGGTAGAGACACCAGACCAATATCGTCACGTCGTCAGCTCGTCCTTATTCTACTGCATAAACGGTTCGTTTCTTTGGAGTACTCGATGGTGAGATATCGTCGTGCGGGTATCGCTCCTTATTTTTAGCTGACTTTGGTGTATATATATAGGATACACTATAAGTGTACGTGTAGCGTTTCTGGCTGTTGCTCGTCGACATGACATGGCAGAGACACCAGACCACCAGCGTCACGTCGTCTGCTCGTCCTTATTCTGGCACACTAAGCGGTTCGTTTTTGGAGTACTGGATGGTGAGATATCGTCGTGCGGGAATCGCTCCTTTTGCTGACTTTGGTGTATATGTATATGATCCACTGTAAAATGCACGCGTACCGTTCCTAGCTTTTGCTCGTCGTAAGACATGTAGAGACACCAGACCAATATCGTCACGCCCGTCAGCTCGTCCTATTCTACTGCAGTAAACGTTCGTTTTTTGGAGTACTCGATGGTGAGATATCGTCGTACGGGTATCGCTCCTTATTTTTAGCTGACTTTGGTGTATATATATAGGATACACTATAAGTGTACGTGTAGCGTTTCTGGCTGTTGCTCGTCGACATGACATGGTAGAGACACCAGACACCAGCGCACGTTCGTCTGCTCGTCCTTATTCTACTGCACTAAACAGTTCGTTATTGGATACTCGATGATGAGATATGCGTCGGGATCGCTCCTTTTTTGCTGACTTTGGTGTATATATATGATCCCATAAAATGCACGTGTAGCGTTTCTGGCTGTTGCTCGTCGACATGACATGGAGAGACACCAGACCACCAGCGCACGTTCGTCAGCTCGTCCTGATCTGGCACACTAAGCGTTCGTTATTTGGAGTACTGGATAGTGAGATATCGTCGTGCGGGAATTGCTGCCTTTTTGTTTTGCCAGTTTACCTGATAAATAAAAAGAATATACACGTACCGCCATGGCTGCTGCTACTTGAACAAAAGCTAATGCAACATACTTGACGTTGTCATTTCATTATACGCGCCCTCGTTTAACGTAAAGAAAAAAGTGGCGTGTGTTGTATAGACTCGTGCAAGTTTTGCTGCTTTGATGTTGTAGTGGTGCCGCAGTGCATGCAAGTCATTTGCGATTGTAATTAACTTTGACCGTTATTATTATGGCGTGCCGTAGCTTCCGTTTGTTGTAACAGTTGTTGCTGTAGTGCTGCTATTGCTACTGGAGTACGTTGCTGTCCTCGTCAAATGGCTAAAAGTTTCAGCAATTGCTACTAGTAAAAGAGAGTAAACCATTCGCCATCCCAATGCCACTGCTCCTCTAGCAATTAACATCCCAGAAACTAAATACCTTTTTTTGCAACCGCTCTTGCTTTAATATGTATAGAATAAAAAGCGGTAGTAAACGAGTGTGTTGAAGAGTAAAAAAAAAATAAGTAATAAAAGAAGTGGAGCTAGCTCTCCTGCTATTTTGCTGTCTTCCTCACCACTTTCTCTTAATTTGATTGGCTAAATCCCGGGGTCAGGCCGGGGTCATCCGTCGCCACTTGAATTGAAATGTCGGGGTCATCGGGGTCACTCATTTTCGCTGTGGCGACTTCGTCGCCACACCGAAAATGATTCTAGGGAAACCAACACCGTCTAAACAGTCAACAAGGGCACATACGCACTGGAACTGGTTACGACTCATGATACCAGCCGCACGACCAGAAAACGGATCATCTTGGCCACAGCGACACGACCGCACTAGCATCATTATCAACGACGCATAGTGGCGCTCATAATCGAGCTGTGTTGCCGGCATCAGCTCAGTGATACCACGAGTGGGCACATCATCGACACTAGTATCAAGGAATATGTTAGTATGCCAAGTTATAGAATTTTGAAAGAATATTCTGGCTCCTTGACAAAGTACATACCTCAAGCCCATCACCATGCGCCGTTCAAGATAATAGGACGAGCCTTTAGTAGCCTTGTTAATGACATACATATACCTCGTCACTGTGGCATGGATTGAGCGGCCCACCTCATCATCCATATCAGCAGCAGAAGCCCAGTTGGCAAGTTGGGCACGCGTTGCAGTAGTGTCTTCTGTGTTCAGAAGTTGCCGCACCGTCATCTCCCATCGCATTACCTCGTGGAAGCGGCCAACTGCACGGCGCTCGGCCATGTTGGGCTCGCGATCAAGCCGCTGTGGGCTGTAGTGGCTCAGGATATCCTTGTTTTGTTCGGCACAACGCTGCAATGCGGCACGAAGAGCATCTGGGGCACTTGTAAGCTGGCGGCTGCTGCTTTCAGTGTTGATATCGTCAGAAGTGACACCAAAGTAGGGCATTTCTTGAAGCTGGCCCAGTCGCTGTACCATGCACACCCTGAAGCGTTCATCATAGGCCGCGGTGGTTGGTTGGATACAATTGTGGCTTCGACGTGTTGCTCTGGACCTGCAGTAATACCCATAGTTCCTGCATCCATACCCGCGATCAGGATCACCGAGCACGTTAACGCGTGGAAGCAGATCAGTCGTAATGTGCGGCGCATAGCGATACTTGTTTTCGATTTGAGCTCCTTTAGCACCAGCGGCATGCACAATGCTGATGAATTGTTCTTCCGAAAAACCTTGCAGGTGTGGTCTGAGGAGATGGTGAGACGAATCGATGTGACTATACGCGCTGGCAGCATGGATAAAGGTATATCGGTTGTTGTGGCTTTGGTTGGTGCAGAAAAGTAAGCCGCTATTGGCATCGATAACCAAACCCAACCTGCCAAGCAAGGTGCTGTGCTCTATGCGAATCATAGTATATACAAGTACACATTAGCAACATATATTCTGTGTGTACATGCGCATAACAATAACAGTATCAAATCATCTTACCATGTACAGGCTCCTGTTCTTGTTCTGGCCCATCGATGTCCATTAGATCCGTTTGCTGGTGCTGCTGAATCGATGCTACTTGCATGGGTGATGGTGATAGTGACGGTTGGGAAGGTGGTGTCCGCTCACGCTGATGGATGGGACGTGGTTGGCGCGCAACCGATCTAGGAGAGATGGACCGGCTGCCTTGTAGCTGCTGTCTACTTTGAGGAGGCGTGTAACCGCGTAGATGGCTAACTGATTCAGGATCTAAATGTGGTCGGCAGGTGTTGAAATGACGTTTCCAGTTGGCCATCCCTACATTGCGCTTGCATTGTGGACATTCCACTTGACCTGGCTCGCCATCACGGGTTCTGCTCACTGTAATACAAAGCTTTGCTGCATAGCCACATATCAGTATCCCTCTTTATCTCTGCATTTTACTCTGCATTTCCCTAATATGTGCGATGATATACCATTATTTCTCAAGGACAAAGTAATATTCTTTTGATGAAAGACTTTTCGATGTTGGTCGCTATTCCCCTGCACGGTACATCGGCATATCGAGCAATAATTGGTGCGGTTGTTGTTGTCATATGTTGATTGTTG